TAAAAAATTCCACCTTATCACAGATAGCAGCTAAAAACAGACTTTATGCCGAAGTACCTCCAGGTTTAAGAAGTGCTCCATGTTTGTCCAGTAGATGCAAAACATGTCCCTTTATATCAGAAACTCATTATTTTGTAAGCAACATGACAACTTTCCTTGATAAATCTTTGAGGCTTAAATCTTCAGCAGCCGCAAGAGATCTCAAAACAATGTCCACATCCCAAGTATGGGTGTAACGTGGAAGTGCTGGACGCAATTCGAAGAATTAGGAAACGGCATATCAAGGGATGCTTTCCCAAAGTTCCATTGTAATCAGAGTCTAACAACACAACAGTAGACAATGCTGAACGGGCTGTATTTAATCCGCTATATCCCAGTCCTTCTTTGTACAAACTAACAAGAAAGTCAACCACAAAACTCACAGAAGATGATAAGGGATCACTGTTCCATCTACCACAAAAGTTGATCCATTTTTATACGCCCACACGTAAGATGGGCGTATATTGTAATCACCCCGTCGGTCCGTCCGTTCACATTTGGCTCGTGCTCACTCTACAGGCTACAGTTCTTTATGTATTCTTTTGATTTTTATTTTGTATGTCAATGTTGTTATGAAGATGATCCCTATTGATTTTCGTGATGATCGGAAAATTTTTCACCGAAATATCGTGTCTGACTTGACGTTTTTCTCTATTAGCTATATTGTGCAACTCGTGCTCACTCTACAGGCTACAATTTTTTACGGATTCTTTTGATTTTTATTTTGTGTGTCAATGTCATTATGAAGATGATCCCTATTGATTTTCGTTATGATCGGATAATTTTTCACCGAAATATCGTGTCTGACTCGACGTTTTTCTCTATTAGCTATATTGTGCAACTCGTGCTCACTCTACAGGCTACAATTTTTTACAGATTCTTTTGATTTTTATTTTGTATGTCTATGTCGTCATGAAGATGATCCCTATTGAATTTCATGATGATCTATCGATTTTCATGATGATCGGATAATTTTTCACCGAAATATCGTGTCTGATCTGACGTTTTACTCTATTAGCTATATTGTGCAACTCGTGCTCACTCTACAGGCTACAATTCTTTTGATTTTTATTTTGTATGTCAATGTTATTATGAAGATGATCCCTATCGATTTTCGCGATGATCGGATAATATTTTACCGAAATATCGTGTCTGACTTGACGTTTCACTCTATTAGCTATATTGTGCAACCCTGTAGTCACTAAAGACTGTTTAATCATTTCTGACAGCTGCCAGTGGGCGTATGTTACCTTGCCTTGCAAGCTATCTTTCAAGGTATGTGTCATATTGTTTCGATGTTGAAATTCGCCAGGAATGGCATATAATGTTTTGAGCTACTACGAAATTCCATGCAAGGCAAGGACTGGCCGGACAAGACGCATGTCATTAATTTCAGTTTTTTCCATAATTTGTGTTCGGCCTTCAGGTTGAATGGTAGATATAGTGTTTTCTTCTTCAATGTAAGAACTTTCGGGGTACAGGTTAACATTCTCAGGAGGAAGGAAAGAAAATCAAGCTTGTGTTGGCCAAAGTGGAACTATCAGCAGAAACTGTTTTCATTTGTCCATTTTATCTTGTGTAAAACCTTTGACAGTAAACTAAAAGGATGAAAAGCATATGGTAAGTTATTATTCCATGGTATAGTAAAAGCATTGGGATCAGGATGCAATTCACATTGACTTTAGTATTCAGTTTCGATATCTGGTGTTCCAAGTAAAGTTATTATATGTTGATACTTGTCTTCATGCAACGTCCACTCAGTTTGATCTTCAAAAATTCTTGATTTTTTGTCAGCAATTGTATTAGAGACACCAGGAATAAAAGAGCGAAATGCCTTTAGATTAGACCCAATCAAATATTTTTCGAGTTATATCATAGCATTGTAAAGATTTACTGCCTCCTCTATTATTGATTTATACAACTGCTGTTGTATTATCCATTTCTAATTTTATTGAATGGTTAATCATATCAAAACATAATGACTGTAAACCGACCAGTTCTAAGAAATTAATATGCAGGAGACTCTCATCATGAGAGTTGTTTCAAATTTAAAATCAGACGAAAAGAAGAATCTTTCTTCGGTCTTAAAAATATTGGTGAAATAAATTCACCTTGTTCATGAGTAACCTGTTCAGAGTTAAGAAATTGTGTTTCAGTAATTGAATACTGTGTTGTCTAAGAGGGTGAGGTTTCAGAGAAGTCTATCTCTACGCCTTGTGTAGAATTCAAAATCCATTTATCAGAAGTATTTTTTTCCAGTTTGTAAGATGGCACTTCAATTGGCCAGCATAAAACTTGCTGTTATTTAACTCAGGCAAACAAGGCTTCATAATTTGTAGTATTACAATTAAAATCTCTATGTTCATTAGAGTCAGTATGTGGTAAAAGCAGGCCCGTAGACAAGGGGGGCTTGGGGAGGCTTTGCCGGGCTGCATTATGCGAAATGTCTTTAAATATCTTTCTGTTTATACTTAGCTGAGGATGAAACCAGACATCATAGCTTTTTAAATTTAATTACATTAGAATAGATAATTTGATACAAATGAGTTCGTTGAAAATCATAAAAAGTTTGCAGTAAAGCGTCATTGGTAACAAAATTATTGGTCTGATAATAATCTGTCCCGTCTCAAAATTCAAAAGATTTGATTTGTTGATTATAAATACTAACCAATAGACATATATTATCCTAAATTGTATTCATATGAATTGTAATGTTCCGAGTCCCAAATCCCAAATCCAAGTTCCGAAATTCAAAGTCCTAGTTTTCAATATTTATTGCAGACTCCCTTGTGGCAGGAGGTAAAAGACTACAATAAAAAAAAATATATAATATAATAAATGACTTAATAATAGTAAAATTGGACATTACAAAATGATATAATTTACAGTGAAATAATATTTATAGGGATTTATAAATTCTTAAAATGCATTCAGATTAAGACAATAATTCAATTTGATTTACAATTTAAAACAAATATATTTAATGAAAACTTACTTCGTGGCGGAACCATACATAGATTTCTTATCAGTTAAAGTAACCCTCTGCTTCTGTCAAAAATTCTAATTCTGACGGTATTCCAACCAGTCAAAAGATTTTGTTCCCCCCAACTAGCTCCCATGATGCGACCGGCCTATTGAGGTACCCAGTAGTACAGAAACACACGTACATATATATAACTATAGGTCTATGTTGTGTATAGTATATCATTATATAAAACAAGGTATTCTGAAGAAATAGAACATGAATCAAACAACCAAACGTAGGAAAAATGTCAAAAAAGACAAATTGCTTGATGGTTCCGACACTACTACGACTGACACGGGTATCAAGACCACAGCGGGCAACACAACGGATGCAGTACCAAGATGCTCTGAAAAGACAGGAGTACCACTATACCATCGTGTAAACTATACGAGCAGAAATTGGCTTTCCCTAAATTATATGCACTGACTGCAAGCGTTGTCACATTCGGTTCTAGTACCGATGTGTGTGAAAGCAGCTTTTCAACTCTTTCTCGCGTTGACTCACCACAACGACGATCTATGACTCAGCTTCGCCAGCGCAATCTTGTTCTTCTTGCCTTCAACAGGAAGCGTACCCAGAAAATTAACTTGGACGTATTTGTTCAACGTTTTGCCATAAAACATACTCGACTACGTTTAAACTGAAACGGCAATAAAAATGTAACGTATTATAACTTGTGTGTTTTAACAAAAATAATCTCGAATCTAAAATATTCCATGAAAGTCCGTTTCCCGACGTATAATAGTCTGTCAAGGTGCTTTGCTAAATTGCCCCCCTCGATTGCACGTTTACTGGTCAGGCTATGGGCCTGGGTAAAAGTCTAGAACTCATCGTGTAATTTTAGTCTTCATTACCGGTATCTAAATTTATTTGGTTTTTTGACGAGGTCGTCTTCTTTTTGGTCTGGTTTGTGTGACCTTGACCTAAAAAAGGACCCTTTTCTTTAGTGTTTCCATGATACTTATTCGAACCGTTTCGATTTAAACTTGGTTGGAAATTGGGTTTATTATAAGGATGGAATTGATGAGATCCTTTTCTAGTATAGCATAATCTCAGTTAAAATTATTATCAGGACGATATGGTCGACTTTGTTGACCAAAATCTGACTAGTGACTCGATTGATTGATGTCTTGTAGGCGTTGAGGAAAATCATTACCAAACAATAGACGGTCATTCTCTCCTTTAACAGTACATAGGGAACGGTAAGATGAGTTCACATCTGGTATCATAAATATCCGACGCCTTCCATTAACTTCCGCACACAAAGCCGACATACAGTAAAAACTGCTTTAGTCTGTCAACATTCTTAAGCAGTCTTTACTGTTAGTGACCTCACCGGAAGCGGTGTCGCTTTGTAGAGATTCCATCAATTTCTGTACAGTGTTAATGGAACTAATCCTTTTATCAGTGAGGCATTTAGAACGACAATGGGTAAACCCTCGACTCGAAATTCATCGGCAACTGTTCACTGCGAAAAGATCCAAGTACAACAGACGGACTCACTCCACTAATTCATTTGCCATCTCTTCCCATGTTAAAACCGAAATTCAACCTTCTATAACTTTTTCCAGAAATCTCGTTGAAAGCTTTCCAATATGTCGAATGAAAGCCTGACCAATTCTCAATGTCTCCTAAAAAATTCATTATATGATGACCATGAAAATTTTGAGCTACTAAAATTGAAAGTAGATTACTACCGGTTATACTCATCCGCTAGAGTTTGGCACTTCACAAAACGACTATTTTTAGAATTAGCCTTCCGCCTTTAGGTCTCTCATCATGCAATTTCAGACATCAAATTCCAAATCTAGACCAAAATTTACCGAAAAATAGGCATGCAAAAACCCCAAAAGGGAGAGAGAAATAAGATTTCTAAAAATAGCCTGGACTACATTCATATACCATCATTTGCATAAAATGTTTTAGTGGAGTGAGTCCATATGATGACAATGAAAATTTTGAGCTAGTCAAATTTGAAAGTAAACTACTACCGGTTATACTCATCCGCTAGAGTTTGGCAGTTTACAAAACGACTATTTTTAGAATTATCCTTCTGCCTTTAAGTCTCTCATCATCTCACAAAATCTTAAAGATAATGCGATTTCAGACATCAAATTCCAAACCTAGACCAAAAATTACTCAAATATAGCCATGCAAAAACCCCCAAAAGGGAGAGAGAAAGAAGATTTCGAAAAATAGCCTGGACCACATTCATATACAATCATTTGTTTGCATGAAATGTTTTAGTGGAGTGAGTGCACATATGCCGTTATACCATAGCTGTTTACAAATCTGTATTGTTATTTCAACTATCAACTATTAACAAACAAACAAATGCAAATGGAATGAGCAAGTAACCTTATTATACATTTATTTTCTAAAATATATAATATAACTTACTACTGTAAACCCACAAAATTTCTCCGCCACTAACTAAGCATTCTCATTATGCTTCAAATCCACCCTCTAAAAATACAAAACAAGATTTCTATTTAATGAAATATGGCTCTATGAATTTGGTTTCATGGATGACAAAAAAAGAAACAGAATGCAAAGTTTACCTTTTGCAACATGCCAGATGTCGTACAAGTGCAGGACAAAAGGGTAGTTTTCTCTTATCCATTTGGCAATTTGTCGATGCCGATCTGTCGCCAGGATGCCTGCAGTAAGATTATTCTTGTCAAAAACTTGGAGTGAACGTTCAAGACCAGTTTTTTCCATATGATAACTGCCACCACATTCATTACTCTGAAAAAAATGCAGTTAATTAAGAATTGAAATTGTGAGTAATCAATGCACACTTATAAATGTCACCATATCTTGCCTGAACTTTCAAAATGCAATGTGATACTGTGTTTGGCACAGGGGCATTGAAGAACAATCGGAAGTGTCTGAGAGTCATTAATAGTTAAGCTTCCTATAGAAACCAAAAGTTATGCCAAATTTTGGTTTTGCTATAGAGAAAATTTTAAACAATTAGCGATCCATATGACCAAGCATTCTTCTCCATATTTAACATGCTCATGCCTAGAGTACTTATCTGGATATCAAGCACAACATTGGCTTTAAGTTCAATCATGGTGTAGGAGCCATATTTAGCAGAGTGACCAGAGCTATCTGCACGTCCATCTCCTCCAAGAACAAGATCTCGTTGCTCAGCCTGCAGTTCAGCCATGATCCAGGTTTGTCTCTCAGTCCACACTTTTCGGATGACTGGAAGTAAAAAACTTCGCTGAGGGCGAAAAAAAGTACGAATAGACATGGTTACAACATTCATATGGTTCATGACTCTTAAAAACTTGCTGGCTGTGGCACCAGCAAAGAGAATTGATGCCGAAAGCAGTATATTGCCAGCAGGCATATTCCCGAGAAGGGGCTGGCTGTTCCAGGATGAAATCTTAAGACAAGATAGGCATTTCACAGTAACAGTCAGTAAACTACAGTTGTCTTATGAGACCATGTCATATCCGTGGAACCACACTCAGGGCAGTGGCACCATAACAACAACTTCAGCAGACATGAAAGGAAAATGATGAACTTCGGCTCCTTGTGTGCAGGCTGTTGTGGTTGCTGTTCTTCTTCTGTATCCATTTCCTCTTCAGATGACTCAGGGGAGCTTGGAGGGATGTACCCTGGTGATGAAGGAGTTTCACATTCATCATCAGAAGATGCAGGGGAGGTACATAACTCCTTTTGAGTAGCCAGGAGCTGACACTGAATTCCTGTATCCACCATCTGTGGCTTTATTGTCTGAGTGCCTGTCATATAAAAATATATGGAAATATTTAATCACTGAATCAATACAATTCAAAATTAACGTCTTATATCCTGCATTAACTAAGAAAAAAATTAAATAATTCACATGTGGACCTGTGATATTTTGTCTCTCAAATAATAGAGCAGATTACAACATTCAAATTAATTAAATCGTTCATATAAGCTTACATGCATGCATTATATATCAATTAAATCATATTTTGCAACAAAAGTTTATACAGTAGACTATGTTTCACAATTATATCAAAGAAAGATATGGAAGTTCATAAAGGCATTAAGATCTTTTCCAACACCTAAAATTTCAATAAACAAGGCTTTATTTTCCTACTCCACACACACATCCATGCTTACTTTTACTTAAGTTACATACTAATATTAATAAAAATAGGGGAAATAGTGCCAACAGACCCAAAGGCCAAATAGGACCAAAAGTAACCAAAGTGGTTTAATTATCTCTGATAATAGGCTAGCTACTGCTGTACTTTTTAACAAAGGACTATTACTTATCGCCTAATAATAATTCTTACTCCGGCTTTTTCCCTCTTTTCAAAGGCTCCACGAATACGCTTTTTTGGCACTGGAACATCGTCCTGACTATCTCTGGGCTTTCGGAATATGGTTGGGGCGGCATCTGGTTTTAAAACCCGCTTCCTAGTCATATGGGTTCCCATTTCAGACATAAACATCGGCCTACTGTCAAAACAATCTTCGTTAAAATGGACGCTGCAAATGTTGCTCCATTTCGTAGCAGACCAGTCAACACGAGTATTTTGAACATTTTTCTCCCAAATTCTTCTTAATTTTGGTTCACTAGGGAACAGGTGAATGCTGATGTTCAAATCCTCGTCCTTTTCATTGGAACAACCACCTACAACACACCTCCTAAATTTTTAAATGTACTTTCCGCGTTCACAAGCGTAAGAAAGCAAGGTGGCGTTACCAGAGTGACGTCACATCTGCCTTCTCCACTTTCTCTCAACTATTAATCGTGGAATTTCTCGCGGGAATATTTAAAACGACAACTACATTGTTATTAGCTATTTATTTATCATATTTCTTGTACCTTTTGTTAAAGTTTCGCATACATATTTGATTTTACGCGAATAGTCTGTTGAATGTTGGCTTCTCTTTAACTCCATGGGTTATTATACTTAGGCTATATAACTCATTGAGGCTTCAGTGGATATGAATCTGATTGGTTGTAAATCTACATCCATTTTGTTCTTGTTGTAAGCAAGTCCTTTTCGACTTGGCTTGGGGTTCGAACGAATGCTTAATCGTAGTACAGTTATGTCCCTTGGTGGAATTTGATAGAGTCGTAACAGAAAATTCAATGGAAAGTCCCAGTAGATAGTCACTAGTCTAAGCGTCTGTGAATAATTTCATATAATAAAGAAAGAGATCTGGGTAACTCTGTTCAATGATCTGGGAATTTAATGCACAGACTATATAGGCCTAGTTCTCAACCAATCATTATTTTCCTTTGGAGTCACATGACGCACCGTTAACCTTGTCATGTTTCTTTCACAATTTTCATCTATAATTTAATCGTGGTGAAATATAAGATTATTATTGGATGTTATAAATAGACAACAAATCAAACTATCTCATTCTAAATTGTTTGAATTTGTATAGTTCAACGTCAGAATCAAACAACCTTGTTTTTGCTTGCACCTCCATAACTCCGTATTGATAAGTCATGTTTTACCTGTATATAATTATTGTACGAGGACATTTTTCTCACGAATTTTTGTTATAGGCCTAGAGATGGATTAAAATATACTATCTGATTGGATTGTGGAATCCATGGAGGATTAATTAGCAGAATAGTGAATATTTATTAGTTTTAAACCGTGTTGACACTCATTCAACGTTTGGGGGCCTGCAAGCCTTTCTTCAACAACTAGCCTAGTAAAATATTATTGGATCTCTATGTGTGTGATATTACTTTTTTTTATCAATGATAAAATTGTGTGATACGTAACCAGGAGAATATCCAATATGGATGCTAGTGCAGCTATAGAGAAAGAATGTAGTGCTTTAGGAGGTCTGTTTCAGACCATAATTAATGATATGAGAGTAAGTAGACGAGATGGCCAGAAATCAATGGATTTTGTGTATTTACATCTGTAGTGTAGTATTTAAACGATTCTTGAGTTTGACTTCATATGACCATCATATTTCCATCATATTTTTTGAAGATTACAATTCCAGCTTGCAACAAGTCTGAAATACTAGTAATCACTGGCTTCATAGTTTGTGGGTAGGCTACAGAATGCGAGTCTTTATCAAATTTTATTCGATATATTTGTAGTCAATTAGTCTAGTAGACCTACCCTGATGATCATAATAGTTTAGTGGAATAGTAGCCTTGCCTACTCTCTGACTACACTGTTTTCTGAATTGAATTTTGACTATCATTTTCGTATGAATTGAAAATCAATTACAAAATACTACTGAGAGTCTTCTATTGCCTTTGGGTTGATGAAAATGTTAAACACTATATTCTAGACTTCTATTTATTATTGAACACTATGTTAAAGACTATTTTGAAGTGAATTTTCTAGGAAGAAAGTGTGTTTATTTCTAATGTACACGAAGACATTCTAAGAGAAATGGCATTATGATTCAAAATTTTATTTTGAATATTTATGAAATGTGAGAAAAAATTCAATTCAGAGTTCAATGTAGTCAGACAGTAGCCAGCTTTGCGATGCAATCAAAGTTTTATGATTTAGAAAAACCCTTTAAATCTTAATAATGTTTGTACCCACAGGATTTAAACAAAATGCTAGACTTTTTAAATGTCCACATGAAATGGGGGGGGGTGTATATCGTCGTTACCCATGTCCATCGGCCCGTCCACAATTGCTCGTAAACACTCTACAAGACACAATTCTTGACTGATTTCGACGAAACTTAATATGGTTGTTGTATTCACACAAGGATGAACCCTATTGAAAATCAGAAAAATCGAATTATATTTAGTTCAAGTTATTGCCCTTGTTCTTAATACGCTCGTAAACACTCTAGAAGGTGCAATTCTTGACGGATTTTGATGAGTTTTGTTATCACCCAAGGATGAACCCTATTTAAAATCAGAAAGATAAAAAAATAATTAGTATGAGTTATTGCCCTTGTTCTTGAAAACGCGTTCAATTTTATCTTGTAAATACTTTACAAATCACAATTCTCGATGAATTTTGACAAAACTTGGTGTGAGTGTTTGTAATCAGAAAATCAGAAAAATTGAAAAATATTTAGTATGAGTTATTGCCCTTGTTCTTGAAAACATGTTCAATTTCTAGCTCTAACACTCCAGAAGGCACAAGTCTTGACGGATTTAAATGAAGCTTGGTATGAGTGTTAGTAATCACCCAAGGATGAACCCTATTGAAAATCAGAAAGATAAAAAATTAATTAGTATGAGTTATTGCCCTTGTTCTTGAAAACGCGTTCAAGTTTAGCTTGTAAATACTCTATAAGGCACAATTCTCAACGGATTTTGACAAAACTTGGTGTGAGTGTGATATTTTTGGCAAGAATTCTATTAATTCAATAATTGGAAAACCAAATGTTTATCGAAGAATGTTCATTTTCAGTACAAATTATGATTTTTGTATACAAATGTTAATTTTCAATAACAAATGTTAGATTAAGCTTGCAAATTAAGAGATAAGTATTTAGAATTAAGAAATAGCAATGAAGAACATTGAAATTTATCTGAAAGCATAATTTGAAAACAAATTTCCAATGTGGACTACCTTTATATTTTGACAAACCCAACTACCATAAAATAAATTTTTTCAGGGTAGTTCACCAGTATGGGAAGATTTTACATGTAAAGCAGGAAAACTTCACTCATCTTTAAGGTATGTATCACCCACAACAGGTTTGGCATCAATGCTACAATTATTATACAAACATAAAATGATCATAAAACTAAACCGAAGGATCAATTGGGTTATATAAATGGTATTGTTTATACATTTGGTATAAAGCTACTATTGTGTTAGTTGACCAATTTTTAACGGGGGTTTAAAAACACTGTCGCTGGTTGTGTAATGTGAGTGGTCGTTAATTATTATTTATTATTAAGACACTTATAGAGCGCCATCTTTCACAATATGTGCTCAGATGCGCTGTACAATACAATTCATAAAATATCAACATATTGGTAAAATTGGCAAATAAGTATAAAAATATAAATGAATAAACGTAAAAAATATGTATAAATATAAGGAATAAAACAATCTATAAATTAAAAGCTTTCTTAAATAAAAATGTCTTGAAAAGGGACTTAAAAGTTACTAAAGAAGTGCAGCATCTAATGTTAAAAGGTAAAACATTCCAAAGTTTGGGGCCTGGACGGTAAAAGAGCGCTCGCCGAAAGTTAAGTCTGGCTGATTTATGTACAAGTAAAAAGTTATCAGAAGATGAACGGAGAGTGCGGCTTGGTGTATACATTTCTAATAGTGAAGATAAATAGTGAGGTGCAATATCGTTTATACATTTAAAAGTTAAAAGGAGGATCTTGAATTGGATTCTAAAAATAATAGGTAGCCAGTGAAGGTCGATTAAAATTGGTGTAATGTGGTCGTGATATTTTTTGCCAGTGAAGAGTCGTGCTGCTGTATTTTGAACTTTCTGTAGCTTGTTGGTTATGCGTAGAGGGGTACCTATTAATAATGAATTACAGTTGTCTAAACGGAGGTGATCAATGCTTGTACTAGAGTTTTAACAGAGGAAGAGGGAATATTTTTACGAATTTTACTAATGTTACAGAGATTAAAATAGCACAATTTACACACATTATTTATTTCTGATATTACATGAATTCCTATTGATAAAGATACATTTTCATTAACTTTTGATTAAAGATTGTTTGATCCCAGTAAAATGTATCAGTTTTATCATCGTTTAATTTAAGGAAATTATTGTTCATCCATAAATGGATATCTTCTATACAGCATTCAATCTTGGATATACAAAAGTTAAAACTATTATTTACAATTATGTTGCAAAGTCATAGGGGGAACTTTATTGTGGTCGCATATTGAAGGTGATTGCTTAATAAAGGTGGTCGCATGAGCAGGATATACTGTAGATCAATAACTTTTTAACAAGCATTTGATGATAAATGGTATTTGATATTCAGCCGGAATTATGTATGTTATTTTCACCAGTAAATATTGATAATATTGGCCATTAAATATCAATAAGATTCAACTATAAACATCATACATTAGTAAGTTATTGTTGAAAATCCACAGAGGATGGATTAGTTACACATCATATGCCAAATATGAGAAGGATGATACATATTTCATATTACCCTCAGCAAGTTTTATAAATGCAGTTGGGGTGGTCTACTCAATAAAACTTTCTGTTCCACATTAAAATTGACTTAAGCTGTGTCAGACTCAAACACAAACCCAGTAAAGAACAGACCAGAGCAAATCCTATCCAAATCCAATTTTCTGCTTACATGTCTCCTCAAACTCAATGGCCCTTCAAAGAACAAAAATAATAATAACTAGAGCCACACGTGGTACAGAGTGGGATTTTGCTAATATAGCAAATTGCAAGAGACTGAAAAAATCAACCTTCTAGGTTAATTAGGTCATGTGTCAGAACTGTCTAAAGTCACGACATTTGTCTTTGGAAGATTGTGAAACCGAAAGTAGACGTCAGACATCAGAAATGAAAGTATCAGCAAATGACCTCTGACCTTGTAAAGGGGAAGGTCAACAAAGGTGAAAGTCACGAGATATAACTCATCAAATTATCAAAAGGCATACAGCTATTACACTGGATGCTGTGATTGGACTTCAAATATGAGGGTATGAGTCCATAGACAGGATCAATGACCTTTGATCCTTCAAAGGTCTATGATTAATGTCAAAAATTGAAAATATAGAAATTCCAAAACGCGTACGAGAGGCTACAATTTTTATTTGATCTTGATCTTGGTATGCTTGTATATATTGATGAGATCTCGGTCAAACTCGAAAATGGTAATAATCGAATGAACGGTGTCTGAATTATTGCCCTTGACTTAATAAAAACGCGTCAAATTTGGCTTGTATGCGCGATAAAGACTACAGTTTTATTTGATCTTGATGAAACTTGGTACCGGTATACATGTATATATTGATGAGATCTCGATCAAGTTTGGAAATGGTAATAATTGGATGAAAGGTTTTGGAGTTATTGCCCTTGACTTAGTAAGAACGCGTCAAATATTGGCTTGTATGCACAAAAGAGACTACAGTTTTTATTTGATCTTGATGAAACTTGGTATGCATGTATATATTGATGAGATCTCGGTCAAGTTCGAAAATGGTATTAATCAGATGAATGCTTTTAAGGGTTATTTGCCCTGACTTAGTAAAAATGCGTTAAATTTGGCTTGTACACACAATAAAGGCTACAATTTTAATCCCATCTTGATGAAACTTGGTACCGGTATGCATGTATATATTGATGATATCTCGGTCAAGTTTGAATTTCCAATGAATGGTTTTGGAGTTATTGCCCTTGACTCAAATTTGGCTGGTAGGCACAATAGAGGCTACATTGTTTATCCACAAGGCCAGATGCATAAAAGTTCTTAAGTTTTAACTTATACTTAGTCTTAAGTATAGTTCAATCTGCTTAACTTAGCAACATGCTTAATTTCATATGCATTTAAACATTCTTAGCTTGTTGCTTAATTAAGCAAATTGAATACTTGAGTAGACACCTTTTTGCCATTGATTCATGTGAGAAAAATCCACATCATGAAGTCATGTTAAAGCTAGCAGACGAATTTCTGTCGCGCTTTCAAAGTTCCATAGAAAATGTCACAGGAAACAAGACACGCTCGTCGCCCCAACTGGTCTAAGGATGAAGTTGTCTTGATGTGCAAATTCATCAAAGAAAAGAAACACATAATTCGGGCCAAGTTCTCGGCCAATGTTTTGACCCTATCAAAGAAGACGGTCTGGGATTATGTCACAGCGCAGCTGAATGCTTCTTTCCCTTCAGTGAAGAGGGAATAAACTGAAGTGGAGAAAATGTGGCATTAAGTTTACAGCGAAAGCAAGAAAGAACTGACCGAAAATTCTAAGAATTCGGTATAGACAGGTAAGCAGGGACATATTCATTTCTCGACCTCTAAAGTCTAAAGAATTCGTCAGTGAAATTACAGTCAGAAAATTACCTTGACATAGTATTGACCTACATTGCTATAAATAACGTCTAGATATATATTCTTTTGTTAGCACTGAGAATTAAAACCACGCCCTTGGATACACAGATGTTTATGTTTATGAAAATGAATTTCCAACTCGTCCGAAATTGACAAATCTTCAATTTATTGATAAAAAAGGACGAACTATTAACTTGGGCGAGTACTCATTTTCAATCACATATGTCATTTTTTCCATATTATAACCCCAGGATAAACTGGACCAAAGACCGAGTCACAGTGGATAACAGCTAAGGTACTACGGATTACAGTCTTATTTTGAGTGGTTTTTCTTTTATTTTCACTTGTAACTTATTTAAGGAAACCACTGAGTGTTGTTAGTCAGCCAGTGGCAGACATTATTGGCGAAGACAATGTTTGTGTCCAAGGAATTGGAGATGATATATTAGACTTCAGTTATTGTCAATTCTATGAAGAAAGGTAAATCTCTCCTAGGTCTCTATAATGGCTATTTTAATAGGTCGTGTCATAACATAAAAATGAGACATCCACTTTATTTTTGGGGAGGCTTAGAATGGAATATAGGCCTTTAAGCTTATAATACACCAACCAGACTTATCCTATCCATTTCTGCTTAAAAATAAAGTTGACTGTTCATGTTTATGAATGTATTCGGATGTGCAAAAATGTGCTCAAGAACAGAGTAAAAGGTAGGAGGGGAAAGCCGTGAATTGCACAAGCATATTCAATAGTAGTTCATTTCATCTAATTGCCTGTGTATTGGAAGTTATTAAGTATTAAAACATAGACTCATGGTGACATGAGTTACCCCAGCAAATCTGTGTCATTTCTTATATTAGATTTGAAATTATTTCACCGTCTTGCATCTGTAAAATTTTGAATAAGATAAGCTTTAAGCTTTTATTTTCTCCTTCTTCTGTGACTTTAGCTTTAAGGCACCGGTTTTAACAGGCTATGCCCCTATTTTGGATATTATTGCCATATATCTTAGCATTGGTTTCTATTTTTCAGCATGAGTGTGTCTGAGGATGTGTTTAACCTTGATAATATCTGTGTGCTCGATTCCACTGTACATACACCTGTACTCGTGACCAAACCTACAACAATGAGCAGCAAACACACACCAACTGAAGTTGAAGATAGCAACGAGCAAAAGAAAAGAAAATTGGAAATAGAGAATTTACAGATAATAAAACTTGTTGCTCAAAAATGAATAATTGAAATTAAAATTGAGTCATTTAAAACAGATAATGTCATCTGAAAATTAATTTATATTGACAATCTTTTGTTTTAATTTTTATGACGCTTTCCCAAATGTCACTTGGATGAGAAAAAAATGAGTTTATAGCAACTAATACATAAATAATATCTTGTTAGATCAAAAGGTTAATTTGATGAATATTCAAGAGGGCTATGGTAAGTCCCTAACTGCAGTAACTATATTAAGAATTAAAGCCAATTAAAAAAACAGAACAAAAATTTGATTTTAATTAGACTAAATCTCTACAAACATTATTGTTGTCTATGTAGGTTTCAAACTTGCTTTATATTTTTTCTTAAAATTCACTTTTAATTGATACAGTTTCTTCTGGCCATCAATTTGTATTTATTTTATTAGGTGTGCTTAAAAGGTTTACACGATATCACACAATTTGATTG